AAAATAATCAAAATAAATATTTAGATCTAAATAAATATTAAGTATTTTGATATTAAGATTAAATAACTAAACCTTAATAACCTAACTTAAGTACCAGTATGTATACTTTAATAAGAAAAGAAAACTTAGTAATGAAATGTCATGCTTTTCCTAGCATCATGAAAGTACTACCTACATTTTAAAGCACAAACTTAATTCAATAAGTAAGAAAATCAACTTTTGGGCATAACAATACAATATACACAACAATATTCATGCTTAACAATGACTTATGATTAGAAAAATCTTGAACTCACCTTAAATGGGTGTTAAAACAGTAAAACCATGTTTTATTTTCTTCAAAATTTTCTTCTTATGAGAATTAAAATAAAACTGTTAACACTCCTCAAACTGGCAAAAAATCTTCTCATTTGGTAGTCTTCTTGCATTCAAAACAGCTTTAGACATAACTTTTTTATTGTTATTCCCGATTCACGTTTGTTACAGTCGAAAAAATGTTAGCGATCGGTGAGCATACATTATTGTTTTGTTTCATTACAAAAATATCCAACACCAGTAGTATGGTACCTTCACAAATCTCAATTTTAGCCTTTTATTGATAGTAGGGGCTACTTGTAACTAGTCAAATTTGTCTAAATTGAAATTTATTGATCGTCAAAACAAATCAAATTTATTAAATTTATTTAAGTAATTTAGTTTTTTTAGCCTTTGTTATTGCAAAAGTTGTTATAGGCTACTAATTTCTGATAAATTCCGCCACAGATAAATTCTCAAGTAGCATGTTCTTTTTACACTATACTGTACAGTATTACAATGAGGCACTATGTATACTAATTTTTGGTACATAATTTTCAAGAAGGTGAGTAGTGAGTAGCCTACCGTTGCAGGCATCACAGTGTATTGTGTAAATCGAGTTAAAAGAACATGCCAAACTCTGTGGTGAAATACATCGGATATTAGTTTATGAAACACGATCTGCAAACTGCAAGAAACAGTCTAAAAAAACACAGTAAGTTAAAAATGAATATTTATTGTTCTTGCCCCTAAGAAAATAAATCAAACCAAATATTCATTGAATTTGTTGAAGGCAACATATAAATTAACCACTTTTCCTGTTTACCAGACATTCTATCACTGCTAAAAAATACTCTTTGGGTTTGAAAAAAAATCGTTAATGAGTTTAATTTTAGTAGCCTAATAAGGTTACAGTAGCTTGAATATCATCTGGATGTTTTTACAGTATTATAGTTTAATATTTTGAAAAATTAACAATGAGCTTCACACTTGTTGCAAAAATAAGAGTGTAAGTACTTACCTTTAGTGCTTAAACACGGATGGCGTTATCAGGTAAACCTAGTGAATCCTTAGTTTAAATAAAATTTGTTTGTGTTCAAGTGAATTAAAAACCGAAATACTAAAAATGACATTCTATCAAGGTAAAAGTAAATTGTGTCACTTGTTTTATGATAACAGGAATTCATGTATGTACAAGTAAATCAAACAATAAGACTTCATAAAATTTAGATTGTTCTAGCCAGAGAAGTAGTAGGATTGATGAAAAAGGAAGTGTATATTCCATCAAAAAGAAAGTGTATTCCAACAAAAATGAATTGTACTCCATCAAAAAGGAATTCAACTCCATCAAAAAAGAATTTTACTCCATCAAAAAGGAATTCTTCTCAACCAAAAAGGAGTTGGCAGATGCATAATATGTTGGTTTGTTGGGTGTTGTTTTGATTTAAGAAGTCAGTAGCTTTTTGATGGTCACCTAGTCAAGTGGTCCTTGATTATTAAGCTTTTAATCAATGGTCCTAACTAAAGAAACAGCTGATTTTAGTCAGTAACAAAGCAGCTACAAAGAACAGTACAAACTAACTATGCATTTATATCTAGTAAAATCAGGTAGGCCTAGACAAAGAATTTCACTTTTTCTTAGTGAAGCAAGTTAATGAAGAAAACTTAATCCAATGAAGCATTTCTTTTGAATCCAGATAAACCTATTAAGACAGCATTTTGGTAAAAACTACACACTTCAGTTCATAACATTTAGAAATTATGAATATGCAAGTTACAGCTAAGTCATGAAGTTGAGCCTACTGACAAACTGAAGCCAAAGGAAAGCAGTGTTTATGTTGCATCAAATAAGCAAAACCGCTTTTTGGGTAAGTTCAGTGAAGATGCTACGGTTATTTTTATATTTCAAGTCAATTGAATAGCCCATGGAATTTATTTTCAGAAAATCTTCCATAAGAATGAGTGAAAATAAATGAGACAGCCCTAAAAATATATCAGAAGTGAAACTTTGGTAACTGGGTCTTTAGAGGATTTTTTATTGAAGAATCGCAAACACAACTAAAAGATGGCGATTACCCCTCAAATTTTTCGGATAAGCCAGAGATTGAACTAGTCACTTTTACACTGAAGTCAGAGATGCAAAAAGGGCTTGCAACACATTCAAATGTGTTGTTGATGATTTGTTTCTTTACTGAAAAGATAGTGGGGTTAAAACGCAAAAGAAAATGTCTAACCGCCAACAATGTCTCAGTAAGATTGCACACTGCCAAAATGTGAGTTTTGATGAAACTTTTCCTGAAAGATGGATTGGTAGAACAGCCCCAATCCACGACTATTCTCCTGGTATGACTCAAATTTCTCATTTTAAACTGGGTTTTTGTTAAGGATACAGTCTATCAAACGAAGGTCAGAATAACAATTAAGTATGAAAAAGAATCATAAACGATGATCATCAATCTATGAAAATCATCTGCACAGTTGTAGGTGGAAAGAGCTAGAAGCCAACAACTAGAAAAAGCAAGAGCAATTTTTTAACAAAAATCTAAATTTTTCAGTAACTAAGTATCATTACTATTTCCCAAATGGAATAAATGCTAACAAACGTATCCCAGTTTTAGAAAGTTAGAAAAAAAAATCCTTGTGACAAATGTGCAATAAATTTTTTTAAATCCTTCTTAAATAAATCATTTTAAAATATAAACCTGATATGAATAAGAAAAGTAAATAGTAAGTTCGTTTTTTAAATATACCATGTTACTATGTCATTTCTGTATGCCAATTATAAAGTTGTGAATATTTTTATGAAATTAAATCAAACGGAAAAATAATGCAAAATATGGGAGACTACTTTCGGAGAATCAATAACATCAATTGCATGAGAAAACACAATGATGTTTATAAATGTAAAGCGCTTAAAGTTGAACTTTAGCAAATAAAATATGATTGTACGGTTAGAAACACTAATCAAGTAAAAACCCCTATATTTATAATGTAAAAATCTTCTCAAATTCAACCTTATTAAATCAAACTTGTTTCTTTCCCATCTATTTAAAACCTCTAATCCTAGAAAGCATCAAGCATGCATGTGTGAAGCTCAGAATGTCTGAAAAACAGGAAAAAGAAGAAGCCTTGCTGAACCGAAGTCCGTTAGGGAAGGCATCGGGAGAAAAGGGAAGAATCACTTTCACTGCACATCACTAAAAAATCACTGATCACTTGTATTGTAACGCTTAAACCAAGGTGTTCCAAATGTTTTCTGTACTGAAGTAAACAAAATTTGACGTGTTGGTCAGTAGCTCGACATACTGTAAAAATAAGGCAACAATGTCTTGGGTTTGCATCCTAATGCTACCACAAAAAATTCATTTTCTATTGTCCCGACTCACTCCTTGCCTTGCTTTTGCCCTAGGTGGATGCGGAAACAAGGTCAAGAGAGGCCCAAAACCGCTTTTGGTTTGACAATTAAAGAAACTTTACATGTACATGCGGCTCCAAGGAACTTGATTACCTAGTGTTACACAGTTTGGGAACACTAACAACAAAAATCTTTAAGCGAGCTTAAGGCAATTAATTATCGGGTGGTTAATGTAGGATTCACATGAACTAAGAATTACTTTATAAAATATCCAGACCAAAAAGTTTAAAAATCGATTCAAATGAAAAATTATTTGCTTTAGTTTATGAATAATAACTCAAATCAAATCAAAATATTTGAACAGAATAAACTGTTTTTTTATGTATTATGTAGCTATTGCTTTTTGCTTGTTTTTGGTTTGATAGTAAAAAAACGTGACTTCACATAGATTAAATGCTTTGATAGTCTAAATATATTACAATCATTCATTTAATTTCAATTAATTGGAATTATATAATTGATTTACTGAAAAAATACGTAATGTTTAAGAATAGGTTAGGGGTTTGGAATATTTTTTTAATTGTAGTATCAAAAGGTCAAAAGTTCCAATTTTGATGGTAAAAAGACAGTTGACTCTTCGATAAGTCATCAGGCCAATCCAAGACTAAAGAAATAAATAAATCTTGCCAAAAGTATATCCCAATCTATATATACTTAATACAATAAGGGGTTTCCCTGTTACAGTACATAACTTTTTCAGCCATCCTACCAACCAGTTTATACGATTGAGGTATCATTTCAATGCTTATAATCTAGCGCACCTGTCAAAGGTAATTAAAAAAAGCGATGCCCCTCTCTTGTTTAATTTATTTCTAGCGTCCATTTTTGATGACCCAGTTATCCTGACCAACTTTCTTTATAACGGTTTACATGTGAATTGTAATTTAACAGCTATGTTTGATGTTTAACCACAGCCAGATTGTAAACAAGAGATTGCGCAGTTTATAAAAACAAATTTTTGAAAGACAAATTTTTTGACAACTTTGAACTGATTGAGGTATCAAAAATAATCTTGAAAACGTAAATGGGTATTCCACTGGATTCATTTTGTCTCAGAAACAAGTTTTGGACCCTCAGACTGCACAATTTGCACACAAGTCCCCTCGTATTTATGATTGCTTTATTCATTTGGATTGGAGTAAGGAACACCTTGGTTTGGCAGTTCCCTTGGCAGTTCACGGCACTGTATCACTTGACACTATCACTAGTAGAAGGGGAGGGAGGGTTGGGATAAAGGACGAGACGCTGGTTCCACAAGACTCCCCTAGCCTACATCACAGTAGAGGCCTACCTTGCGGCGTCAGCTGCATCTCCTCCCCCGAGCTGTCCGCAGAGAGAATCCATGGAGCTGAAACACAAACAGAACCGTTAGTAAAACCATCGGAGGATCGGATAAAACATCTATTGACAGAAGTAGATATCCTATGTCGAAGTTGCAGCCGGTCTTATAATAAGCACAGACGTAGTTAAATTACGCCACGGACAGAGTTTACTACAATCATTAACTGATTGGCTACACACTGTTCATCAAATAGGCTACACACTGTTTAGCCATCAGAAAAAACAACATATTGTGACTTTTAAATTGTTTTGTCAAATCAACTACTGCACTAAAGTACTTAGGCCTATTGGAACAAAACTCAGTGCCGACCTCAGTGAGTCTCATGGTCACCTGTGCCCAGCCAGGTCCCGCTGAAATGAATCAGTCCTTGTAGAAAGGACGTCGGAGTTATTGCATCTGTGTTGCTAGAGTTACATAGCCTGCTGTTCCCACAGACCGGTGAATTTTTATAATTGTAAATATTAGTTATAGTGTTATTTAACATTTTTAGTATGAAAAACAGTATTTGTGAGACAAAAAATGATGTATTTTCATCATGGTGCCCACAAACGTCATTGCGCGGGCCTGGTCACCAGTGGCCGCCATTTTTATTGAAAAAACTGCTCAAAACACTATTTCAGACCTGGATCCTCACTTATAGGAACAAAAGGTAAGATTTTATATAAAAAAAATTTAGGCCCACTACCTGCCTGTCGACACACTGTTCTTACCGCACTCACGACACTGTGTTAAGGAGAAAATTTAATTTTGACAACACTTTCTATAGCTAAGTCTCTAATTAATTCAACCATTCTATTTAGCTACAGCTGGTCAACTTAGAAGAAGTGTCTATTGTATTACAGTATCAAAAAGTAACCTCAAAATCTTGAATCGAAAGGTGGAATGATAAAATTCACGTTATGGGGTTTTTAAGTAAGCGAGGTTTGAGTTATGGAGGTGTTGTACCGAAAATTTGAGATATCGAGGTGTTGGATTCTCACAATGATGTTATTTCACGACTATTATAACTCGACTTTTACACACAAAAACATTATAAACTGAGCTCAAGCTCTTTTCACGTACTGAAGGGTAACTGTGGTAGCAAAATTGAAAAGTTTATCATGCGTAAGGGGCATTCTGAATGACTTCTATCGCAAAATCAGTCCTGATATGGGAATGGTTTGATCACGACATTGCTTTAACCACGTTATAGCACATAGTCCACGTTCTTAATTCTTTTTGTTATTGATTATTTCACCTCGACCTCGTACTTTACCCTTTTTACAAATTCTTCGATTAAGTGTTTGGCGGAATTACTAATTCCCTAACGATTTCACCTTTTCTCCAAACCATCGTCATCTGTCTTAACCACTCCTTTTTTTTTGTGATCGTTTTACTCTTAGGCTTAACTGTTGACATGACGTCCGATGCACACAAATCAAAATAATCTTAATAACTGGCAGACTTACAATCCACTACCAAACAAAGGAAGTTCGATTTTTATGTCTGGAGAGGAACAGAAACACAGCTGACTTGCACTGGACGGCAAAACTTAAATTAAAAAAGCACGTGAGAACTTCAGCTTATAAAGTTAAATTCTGAGTTATTAAGGCTCGATAATGGAAAACATTAAGTTATTAAGGCACGTTAACGGTAAAATTTGAGTTATACAGGTTAATTATTACTTATCAAAAACCATTAAATGCTACGGTACTTATAGGGGTCATGTAGGCTATTTAAAACCTTTGACTTAACATTTTGAGGTAGCCTATAGGGCTTTCAAGGGGATTATACAATATTTGAGATATCTATTATATTATATTATATTATATATATATTATTTGTTGTGTCTGAAACAGGTGACCTGGTATTATTAGTACTGATAAATACTTGGGTGGATTTAAGTTTTGCATTAGTATAAGGATTATATCTATATATATAATTCTGTAAGACAAAATTTTTACCAGAAAATTGTGGACGTCTGGTAAGTCGCAGAAAAGTGGAAGGGATCTTAAATTAAAGGTCTTGACCCCAGGGACTCGGGAAAAATAGCAGAATTCCCATAAAGTTACCAGAAAACGAGATATAACGTAAAATATCCACCATAAGAAATGCATGGGGACTGAAAAACGTCTGCATTCTATGAGCTGTTACTTATTTATTTGCGATGTTCACATTTATTCCGAAAGTCAATGTTGGTAAACAATGTTTCAAAATGAATTGTGTTTAGTTTTTTTTTGTTTTTCGTTTTTATAATGATGAGTGAAGTAACTATACAGGGTAGGGGAAGACCTGCAAAACGTGGAAGAGTGTCCAGGAATTCAACAGACTTAAGAAATGTAAAAGAGAACGTCATGTAGGGCCTAGTGAAAGAAATCCAGAAGCTGTTTTACAATCTGTCTTTAGAAGAACGCTGGAAAATGAGTTGAGTGTTGTTTCTCACAAACTAAGTCCTCCTAAAGCACTTGCACGCATTGTGGCGCGTTTCACATCCCAGAGGAGGCCACAAATGGACATTTCAACGCATGTTGCCACAATGGACATGCCACAACCACAATTAAAGGACGAACTAAAATAACTGTTCTTACATGATTCGAACTTCATAAAAAACATAAGGCTTTACAACAGTGCAATGGCTTTTGCGTCCCTTTCCGCTACACAAAAAGAGATTCTGCGAAAGGGGGCTTACTGTCTTAAAATTCAGGGACAAATTCATAGATATTTTTCTGACTTACTACCGCGAAATGGGGAGTTTCCTTCATAATAATTAATAATAATTCTAACCATTACATTTGGTTCTCAAAATGAAAACTATAGCCTAACAGAATTCGTAAGATTACAAAAAAATCTTCTTCTTTAAAATTGAAGATTTTTTTTTGTAATCTTAGACGGCTGTATGATTTCAGCTCTGATTCGTCGTTCTCCGGGCTCAGGCCAAACCGTGTGTACGTTTCCATTCGTTAATAGGCCTATGTTGTGTTATTGATTTAATCATTATTTTACATTTGTATTTCATTGACACATCAGAAGCAACTAATATACGACTCCAACGGAAGGAAACCCAAGATATAAAACAAGAAACACTGTTAATTTTAAGTAACATAAAATTGATAATTTTAAAAACATATTTTGAATATTTGCCTTTTTATATATGTTTTTTATTGTAGTCTAAATTAGGGGCTATGGCCCCTATAGGCCACTAGTAAGGTTATATAATTATATAAGGATATTATATCAGGTTATTAAGGTTATATAAGGATTGGAGTTCCTTATTTTAATGACAGTAAAGTGTTGGTTATAGACAAATTGGAAGGCATTTCCAATACCTGAGATAGCACGCTTGATTATTATTCACTTAATATGTCAGATTGTGTGGTTTTAGCCTATAGAACAAAAGATGAAAATATTAAGACATTGCCATCCCTTTTATTGTTATAATACTTTGATGAAGGTTTTTACTTATATGTTTAGTTTACATATTTAATATGTGGAGAATTTAAACGTTGTTGAGAGCACAGGTGTGCTGTGATTGGGGTTTAATATATTTGTACTAAAAGTGTGGCAATATTTCAAATCATGACTAATACAGATAGTTATGATTATTCAAACCTACAAAACCGTTGTTGAAAGTCCTGCTTTTAGAGAAAGATTTCCTTATAGGGAAGTAGCTATTACCGTAGGTGGCACGGTAAGATCTAGGCCCGGGGGCCGGGACCAATGTACCTTTTAATTTTTATGTCCCCAGAGGCCAAAAACACCATTCTTTCAAATTTGTATATAGGCCTACTGTAGGCCTATATAGATTATATATATATATACGTCTATGAACGCGATACTTTGAGTAATTTTTGTCTGATTTTGATGAAATTTGGTTTAAAGGTGCAAGGCGGGATAAACTTGAATGAGTTCGCGAACCAGCATGGTCCAGGATGGTGGTATAGGAATGGGGTTTTACAGGGGGTTTAATGGGGTAAAAAATGGTTATTCTCATGAAACCATGAATTTACCATGAAAACACAAATTCCCAATTTCTCTCTAGATCTTTTTAAAGAGCTTAAAAAAACAAATAATTTTGTGTATCATTGTGATTTTGTAGTTCAAAAAGTTGTAAATTTATAATTCTCATTTTATTCTTATGGAGAATATTGTAAAATGTTGTAGTTTGCTTGTTTATGGATATATTTTGATAAAACTCGGCAAATTTATTTATTTTATAGGCCTACAAGCTATTAATATTTTACAAAAAAATACACTTGATTTGTTTCCTTGTAGCAGCAAACCTAGGTGCTCGTTTAACCTAATGGTATTTAAATATATTTTATTGAAAATCAATTCAGACAAATGGAAATTCGCTTAGAAGGCAGGTTTGCGAGTATTTTTAGTTAGGTACATCTTAGAGTTGTTTGAAAACTTGTTAGAAAATTATTTTGAATAACTCTATTTGCGTCGTCAAGGTTCACCTACATTATTTCTGCTCTCAGTTTTAACTGATAACTTTTAATGGAAGCTAAACGTTCTGCTTCAATTTGAGTTAACATGTTGCAACAATGTTTTTCCAGCATTAAGAATTGAAGAAAACTGTTGCCTTAACTGATAACCCGTGTTAAGGAGTTTAGTTTGGGGTTTTTTTAGTTTGGTAATTTTATTTATTTTATTTGAGACATCCTCCTAAACCAATGATTTTTTTTCGTATAGAATCCCGAAAAGTCTCTGGATTACCAACTGGACAGCCATAATCTGCTTTGAAAGCAGCAACACCATTGAAAGTTGGTTAACTTAACGTGTCTCTCAGTCTCAGTATATGCCTCGCATCAGAACGTTCTTACGTTGTTCAGTGGAGTTTCTGGGGTTCTCTTAATACCTGTCCCAAAGTTTTGAAAGTATGGATTCGTTTGTCGAAATAGGTTAGTTAACTCTTGTAGCTATAAGATTTGGATAGCAATATTGCAACTTTCTCTTTTTGAACAGCGTATATTATTTGCCTTAGAATCATACAAATAAACTTGATTGTCCCTACTCGATCGTTGAGTACATAAACACTAATTCCTTCACTTATGTTTGGTCTAATATTGCCACTAAAGCTTTCAATAGCAACTTCTTATTTTTGACTTGAAATGTCTAGATTGTGTTGGTGAATTTTCTACCTCTTTTTTTCTACTCTCCTCATACGCATAAGATATCTTATTATTAATTGTCTCATCCTCCCGTTTTCAATATTTCTTATTTGAACTTGAGGCATTTTCTGTTCTTCCAACAAAACTGATTAACTGTTTAGCTTGGTCTAAACCTACCGAATATTGCAAACATTAATATTTACTCCCAAAAAGCTAATGAGTTTCTTTTTATAAACAGCTGTTTTTTGTTTTTAAATTTGTTCTATGTATTTCTTATGGGGAAAACCCGACCTTTGAGAGGCTCTCACGCCCTTAAGAGTTTAAAATGGTCCACGGCATTTTAAAATTCTAAAACCTAATTGCAAAACTACATATTGAGGCAAATCTTTTGACACCTTAAACGTTGAAATTGGTCCGCAAATAAGGGAGGAGTTACGTTAACAAAAAATGGCTTCACGTATTATATATATAGATACCGGTATGTAAACAATAAATAAAGACAACGTAGTGTTGTGCGTGAAATGTCGAGGGGGGAGCGTAGGAGAGGTGGGTGGTGCGCTGGAGAGGGGGAGGCACGGGAGAGGGGTAGGCGCGGAAGAGAGGGGGAGTGCGGGAGAGAGCGCAGCCATGGAGAGAGCAGGAAATTGGCGCCTTGGTACCGCGAAACATCTGGTTACTGCTCAAGCACCTGCCAGTCTGTCTAAAGAGAAGTCGGGTATATCAGCCTCCTGTCCGGGAAATCAAAAACCTTAAGCGGATATTTATCGCCAAAGACTTAAGCGGATATATCCGTCACCCGTCCGTGAAGGGTTAAATGATCGAGTTTATACTTTAAGGGCCCTATTACACTAGGTCACCAGGCGACGTCACCGGTTACTGTACGGGCAGCCAGCCTCAACACCAACACCAGAGAAGTCACAAGGAGTGAGAACAACCCCCAAAGTTCCTCCACTCCAATGTCTACGTACATTCAGCGCTGTCACCACGTTCAAGGACAAAGTGCTCTGTTAATTTGCGTCTTCTGTTCCATTAAATTACTCTTCAGTTTAAGTTATACAGTTATAGTGAAGTTATATAGTTACTTCAGTTATTACTCTTCAATTTAAAAAATGTCTAGTGATAAAAATTAGTGAATAAGTGGGGAAGAGATGGAGGAAAGGGAATAAGGGAAGACGACTCAGTGAAAGAAAGCCAGTCTAGTGTAAAATGGACAAACCAAGAGGATTGTGTAACGAGCTTTGCTCGTCTCCTCCTTTTCCTCAAAAAAAAAAGAGCAATAAGTAGTATTTCTTCTTATTTTTCCGACATTACTCACTGAGTCAATACATTGGCATTAAACAATCTGAACTTGCAGAACACAAAAATACACTGGTGACGCAACTGCGGTGACTATGTGTAATACGGGCCATTTGATTCAATACTTAGTGACAAATCTTGGTCACCAGTGGTTACTCGTCTGGTCACGGGGCAGAGTCACCGGTCAGTCACCAAAGGTTGGTGACACAACAGGTGACCCTAGTGTAAAAGGCGCTGTAACAGTGCCCACCAACCAGTCAGGTCACCGGTGACGTCGCCTAGTGACCTAGTGTAATAAGGCCCTAAGGAATGTTTGTAACAATCAACAAAACGGACAATGAAATGTTGATAGAATATTTTACTTTAATTAAACATTTTTTACTGTAACAACACTAAAAATAAAGTGACGGAAAAGTGACTGAAACTAAATGACTGACAGTTTGACTGAGAAATTGTGCACGCGTGAGGGTTCGGTAAAACCGTGGCCATGCCTGATGAGTTGTGAGTTACTCATCAATGCCTATGACGTCGGGACTCGCCATACCACTACCTAGAGACTACCTAGACAATACCTAGAGACCACTACTTAAGAGATTCTGGTTTACTGGCACCCACTCTTTAAGTGGACAACTTAACGATAGGATAGTTCTAGTGAGCTTACTGCTGAGCCAAAAAAGGGCTATAAAAAACTGAAAACAAGAAAAGAATAACAAAGAATAATAATATTGAACGATAGATTTTTCAATTTGTTCAATGAGTTTAAAATGACAACTAAGTTTATCTTTCAAATCTGTGAGTGTCAAATGAAACTGAGTTTTTTGTAAAGTTTTTGAGATGATCAGGCCAGGAGTTTTTCACATACCCGGACAAAGATGTTCGAAATCTCCGTTATCAATAACGAAGATAGGCTACTGTGTTTAGGTTGTTGCAATCGAACCTCAACAAGCGGGAGGTAATATTTATACGACAACGGGTGTGTTTAAAAGATTGTTCATAGAACAAACTTTGACTTAGTAGCAACTGTATAGGCCTACCTGTTCCAACAATTCAACAGGCACAGTAAATACCCCCGCCGCAGCAAACCTGCAGACTAAACATTTCCATATGCACAGCTGGAATTCCACTAAATTGTTCCCTTAAAATTGTCAGATTTATTTCCTATTTAAACATCATTAATATTAATGAGTACTTAGGTTTGCTGCTACTGGGAAGAAAATAGGGGGGTTTTATTGAAATATTAATAGCTCAGTATGAAGTAAACAAAATTTCAAAATTTCATTAATACATGTCCATACACAAGCAAGTGTATTTATTCTCCATAAGAATAACATGGTATAGTTCGGCCGCTTAGAAAACGACCTCCTCCAGCATTGGTTTAGCATTAGCGCGCAGGTCGTTTTCTAAGCGGCCGAGCTATAATTTTAAATTTACATTATTTTGCGATTTTTCCGTAACCGTTAGGCATGCAACAATGCTTCAATATACTAAATTATTTGTTTTTTTGAGCTCTACAAAATGGTTTAGAAAGAAATTGCAAAATTTTATGTTTTCAGGGTGAAAAATTTGAAAAACCCATTTTTACCCCATAAAACCCCCCATAAACCCCTGTTCCCATAGTCCGATCATGCTGGTTCGCGAACTCGTTTGAATAAATGTAGGTTTACACGTTTATACCGAATTTCATCAAAATCGGATCATTTTTGCCCGAGTTATCGCGCTAACGGACACATATATATATAGGCTATATATAAATATATATATATATATATATATATATATATATATGAATTTGAACAGATGGTGTTTTTGGCCTCTGGGGACCTCAAAACAAAAAACTAAATCGGTCCCGGGTCCAGGTCTTACCATGAGACCTACGGTAATAGCTTATTCCCTATATGGGAAATTCGCTAAAACAAAGTGATTGTGCAAGTTTTTAAATCTAGGTGTGAAAGACAAAAGACAATAGGCTAATATTATTGATGATCCTACCTTTGTTGTTGGTTCCTCCGTTGGAAGGTCCAGGTCTTGACATCATCATCACTTCACCACTCTCGTCCACACTCAACTGTCCGTCCCCATCCCCATCCCCCGGTTCACGCTTCACACTCCCACTCTTAGCACTTGGAGATCCCACACTCGTAGCCGACAACCGATCACTTCCCTCGCTCAACGAGATTTTAGACGCACTGTCACCCTCCCCATCGTCCCCGTGTTTGTTGCGTTTCCGTTTTCTCGGACCCGGCGAACTGCCTCCATCCCCCGGTGGGCCAGGGCTTTGAGGGTCCTCGTTGGCCGAAGTTGTAGAGTTGCTAGAAGGCGGCCGGTTCGACTGTAATCCGTTACCCTCGTCACTACCCGCATCCGTAAGCCCTTTGATCTGTAATGTCTCTGCCGCTTTTAGAAACGTTGAAAGTTGTTCTTGCGAGATATTCACTTCCCCCCTGTACATGTAGTCCAACATGGCTTTTAACTCTTCAAACTTAACGTCTTTCAAAATGATGATTGGATGTTTGTCGTAGTGTTGGCTCAGCAACATCTGAAAAAAAAAAACAACAGTTAGGGTGATATGTGACAGTATTCGGACGTCTTCCTAAACATAAAAGGGGGAGGAAAGCCAAAACCATTTGCAAAAGTATAAAAAGTTTAGAAAAATATAAAGTTTAGAGGCATAGGCCTACATATTCCAACCGAGATAGAAATTTGAAGATAAAGGAATGTCCACAATATTTTTTTACGACAGTGTTTTCTTTATGTCTGTAAGCCCCCTTGTTACAGAACCATCAAACCAAAAAGTTGAGGTATCAAGTTAAATCATAGGCCGAGAAAACTCAAAGTAAACAAGGCATGTTTCAGAGTTTTAATGGTCAAATTTTATTCAAAAATACAAATTTAAAAAGATTGTTTACATCTTTGTGACCCAGATTTAACTTTTTGGAAATTATATCAATAGAAGTGACAGCATTAGGGATTAGCATCAGGGCACACTTTGAACCTGGTAGATCAACTTATTATTAACTTATCTTTTTAGAGAATTTCCCTATATAGGGAAGTAGCTAATACCGTAGGTGGCACGGTAAGACCTAGGCCCGAACCAATTTACTTTTTCATTTTAATGTTCCCAGAGGCAAAAAACACTATTCGTTCAAATTTTCATACATATATATATACATTGTGTAAGGCAGGGCCTGATAAACTTGAATGAGTTTGCAAACCAGCATGATTGGACCAAGGGAACAGGGTTTTACGGGGGGTTTTATGGGGTAAAAAACGTTTTTCTAGTTTTTGACCCTCAGAACACAAAATTTTCCAAATTCTCACTAGACCTTTTTAAAGAGCTTTTAAAAACAAATAATTTAGTAGGCTCCGTATCAAAGTGTTTTTGTACAATTACTGTAGCATAACGGAGAAAATTCAAAAAATTGTAAATTTAAAATTCTCAAGTTATTCTTATGGAGAATATTGAAAAATGTCGTAGTTTGCTTGATTATGGATATATTTTGATTAAGCTTGGCAAATTTATTTATTTTATACTAAGCTATAATAATTTCACTAAAAAACAAACTTTATTAGTTTCCTTGTAGCAGCAAACCTATGTACTCGTTAAATGTAATGTTATTTAAATAGATTTGATTCAAAATCAATTCGGACAATTGAAAATTCGCTTAGCCGGCAGGTTTGCTGCGGCAGGGGTATTTTATTGTTGTAGTTACTAAAGTTTAATAGGCCTACTCGTTTCAGAGAATTAAGAGTAGGCTACCACTTTATTTGATATTGTTATGATAAAAAAAAATGATAGAGTAGACTCCCTCTTATCCGGACTCCTCGGGACCAAGGCCAGTCCGGATAAGGGTTTTCCGGTTAAGCCGACGTCCCCAAAAACTCATTAAAATGAACCGTTTACGGTGATATTCAACTTAAATTTAGGAGAGCATTGTATTTAGACATGTGATCACTGGTCTCAAATCTTTCCCACGAGAACAGTCGTTACAGTATTGCCCACTTCCTGCCGATCTAGTCCGGTTAAACCAATGTGCTGATAAAAATTGTCCGGTTAAAGAGATGTCATATCCGTCGAGTGTAGTCCGGTTAAACCGATGTCCGGTTAAAAGGTGTCCGGATAAGAGGGAGTCTACTGTAGATAGGGAAATGGCAAAAACTACACACAAAAATAATTCTACTATTAACTTACAAGAAAATAGGTCTACATATTTAAGGAAACAGCTATCGGTACTGAACTAGGTCCAAGAGTACTATTGTACGTTCAAATTTTAGAAACATTATAAGCCAAATAGATTATATTGTTTGTTAAAATTACTAATAGGTAACGAGTACCTAGTGACTGAATATGTGTCCGTAGGCACAAAGGGATTTTTTTTTTTAGTATGATATTTTGATAAAACCAGTAAAAACTGTTTCAAATTTATCAAAAACTTTTAAATGAGTTAATATGCCCTGACCAACCAGGGATATTACGGGGTTTTATGATTGCAAAAATCAGATTCCGAAAATATTTTGTTTTAATATAGGCTAATTCCATCCTGCTTAAAAATACATAGAAAATGGCTAGATGCAGTAAAGTAACGTACAGGGCCTTATTTCCCTAACAGCGGAAACGGCGGTTGCCGCTATAGGAAAAGACGAAGATAACATCTCAGCGATTGCGCAAGATGTTAACAATATCTCCGTGGCCACAGGAGTCGTTCATGATTTTGCCGCTATCGGATGAGACGAAGATGATGTCTCAGCACTCGCACAAGATGTGTTCTATTTCTCCGCGGCCACAGGAGTCGTTCATCGTTTCGCCGCGATCGGAGGAGACGAAGATGATGTCTCCACAAACGCGCAAGTATATCATATGAAGAATAAATGTTTATATGTACATTGCTTACAATAGTTTAGTTAGGCCTATCGAGTAAGAACTCAGTAAAAATTCTCATTTTTCACAACCCTGTTTTGGATGTAAATTTTGCCTAAAAAATTAATTAAATTTTTCCTGGTAGCTAGATATGCAGGTAAACTGCAATGCAATGAGTATTATTAACCTTGATACAGTGAGTAGTTAAATTATAGAATAGCCTAAGTTGTTAAGTGTCAATACCTTAGCATTGGTTGTTATAAAAATAACAAAATCCCAAAAACCAATTTAAAAAAAAAACTCTAAAATACCAAAACTATCAGTTATTTTCACAACTTTCGTCCATTTAACTAACTATTAACTTTTAAAGGTTTAAAATGTCTTCTTTCAGTGTTTTTCACGCTGAATGTAAAGATGCAATCAGTTTTTAACGTTGAGTCGTCAGTGCCCAAAAACCTAATAAAATATTACAAATTTCAGGTTCATTGAGGGTTGGAATGGTAGTTCGGGCGAGCAACGTCCAAATTGCTGTTTTATTGTAAAATTATCGGATTTGAAATACATATCATGTAGGCCTATGATGGAATAAAAACATATTTGGTCACACAACATTTGTTTACAAGATGATTTTTAACATTAAAACTGCATGAAAATTTGTCTTTATACATGTAAACTAGCTGTTCTGAATCATACACAGTTTTAACTGACTACTCGGTTCCCGTATGTAGGACGGGCTAACACCTTGTCTAAATCATAACAGGAAAACCATGTGCTTTATTTTAAAATTGGAAGAATTTTACTTTCCAAGAACAACTAAGGAATATTTTCAAGGGGTGGCTTTCTTATTCTTATTATTATTAACCCTAGGAGTGGCGAGACCAATTCTCAGTAGGTAACTATTTGCTTTGTGGAGTGGCACGTGCTTATTTTGGTGAATTTGTAAGGTTTTTTTATCTATATAAAATTAGTAAGTAGAGATTTAAACTATTGAACCTTTTATTCAATTTGTTTGTAATAGTCAGTAGAATTAAAAAATGGTAGGGTAAAGTGGATCTCTTGAAAAAGTCAAAAAGTCAAAAATAAAATCTTACTAATATTATAAATGTGAAAGTTTGTGTGTTTGTTTGTTTGCGTGTTTGAAGTTCAATCACGCATAAACCACTGGACGGATTGAGCTGAAATTTGGCATGATGATAGATTACATTCCCGATTAACATATAGGCATTTAAAGGGTGTTTTTTTAAAAACTTGCATCTTTATTTATGTAAAAACCGCAATAGATAGAAATATGCAGTTGACGGTAATCATCTATTGACGTACGGGGCACAATTTTTTTGAATTCAACATTACATTCACATTCACCCCTTTCCCCCCCTGCCCCCAACTATTTTTTTTTTAATAGCAAGGTACCCCTTGTGACATATCAAATAAAAGAGCATGAAAAAAAAAAAATGTTTGATGAAAAAAAATTGAAAATCAGTTCATAAATGTGCCAGATATTCCCCCCCCCTCCCCCCCCCCCGAACTTAATTTTTTTTAATAGCAAGGTGCCCCTTGTGACATATCAAATGAAAGAGCGTGAAAAAAGAAAATGTTTGGTGAAAAAAAACTAAAATCGGCTCATGAATTTGTGAGATAATCCCCCCCCTTTTCCCCTACCCATAACTTGTTTTTTAATAGCAAGGTACCCGCCCTTGTGACATATCAAATGAAAAATAAATTTCACCAAACATTTTCTTTTTTCATGCTCTTTCATTTGATATGTCACAAGGGGTACTTTGCTATACAAAAAAAATTAAGTTCCAGGGAGGGGGGGGGGGGAAATATCTCTCGCAAATTTATGAACCGATTTTCAATTTTTTTTCATCAAACATTTTCTATTTTCATGCTCTTTTATTTGATAAGTCACAAGGGGTACCTTAGTATTTAAAAAAATTAAGTTGGTGGCAGGGGGGAAAGGGGGGGAATGTGAATGTAACGTTGAATTCAAAACAATTGGGCCCCCTACGTCGATATATGATTCCCGCAAACTGCATATTTCTATCTATTGCGGTTTTTACATGAATAAAGATGCAAGTTTTAAAAAAAAACACCCTGTATATAATATAGGTAGCCTATATATTTTTAAAATTTTAGTTCCAAGGCAAAAACTTGTTACATGAAACGTAAATTTTTATTGCACAGTTCAAAATATGCAAATTGTGCAGATTTTGTGCAGAATTTAAGTTATTTCGGTACTTTGGTAATTATCCGGAGGCCACCCTTATACAGCGTGCTGCGGCGGTTATGTTAGGTTGGGTTGTCATAAATATTGTTTAGGACTTTCCTCGTTTTGTTATAAAACAAACGATACCAGATGAATCATACTTTTGCATGCCAAATACCGTCCAAGTAGGCCAATTTCAGGTCGTTGACTGGAGCGTGCGCATCACCTGTCACCACCTGTAGGCTATCTGGGTTATTTGGCGGGCGAAAGTATGACTCATCTGGTATCGTTCAATTCATAACGAAACTAGGAAAGTCATACAAACATATTTATGATAAACTAACCTAACATAGCCGCCGCAGCACGCTGTGTACCTACTTGGCAGAGTATAGCAGCGGCGACACATTTAACTGAATCCTCACCGACATTGCTGCCTTCTGGGAGGCAGAACTAAAAGGCCGCTAATCGTAATCAT